CGATCGAAGGCTTTCGCTATGTCCAAACTTACCGCCAGCGCCTCCCCCTTGGACTCAATTGCCTCTGCCCACCTATGGGTAAGGTATACAAGGAGGTCACCAGCTGAGCGACCACGACGAAAGCCGTACTGAGAATCGCTAATCAACTGGTGGCCCTCTAGATACCACAAGAGCTGGCAATTAATAATGGTTTCCATTATTTTGGAGAACAAGGAGGTTATAGCTATTGGGCGATAGTTGGACGGATCAGAGCGATCGCCTTTTTAGGGATCGGATGTATCGAAGCGGTCTTCCAGCACTTCGGGACAGTGCCGAGCGAGTACAGGTACCGGAAAAGGCGCGTTAAGACCGGAGCCAACTCAGGAGCACAAGTACGCAGCACAATTGGGGGGATACCATCCGGCCCGCTCGACTTATGAATGTCCAAGGAAGATAGTGCTTTGCGGACAGCACGTTGCCGGAATATGATTTCCGGCATCGAAGAATCACACCGCGAAATGGTCGGTGGTGATCTTCCTCGGTCATCCAAAGTCGAGTTGGACGCGAAGAGACAGCCCAAAAGGTCGGCCTTCTCCTTCGCAGTGTGGGCCAGAGAGTCATCCTCCCTGTGCAGTGGCGGAATGGCGGGCTGACAAAAATTCCCTTGGACAGCTTTGGCGAGAGACCAGAAGGCTCGAGTCCCTGAAGGGAGCTGGGCCAATCTCTCGCCAAATCTGGCAATGTGCTCTGACTTTGCCTTAGTGATTTCCCGTTTGAAGGACCTGGAGGCTGAGTTATATGCTGTTTTAAGTTCGCTGGTATTGGCATCACGAGATTTCGCCGCTTCCGCCCATGCCTTAAAGCATTCTCGCTTTCGACGCGAGGCCGCCTTGCAAGAACGTTTAAACCAGGGCTGAGACTTGCCACCGATCGGCACCGCAGAAAATGGAATAAAGAGTTCCATGCCCTGCAGAACCACTTCGGCGACAGAGGCGGCGACGGAATCTGGAGCTTCCGGCGAAAAGCACATAGGCCCCCAAGGGTAGGACGCAAAGAAAGACCGCATCCCGTCCCAATCTGCTGACTTATAGTGCCAAATACGGCGACAACCCATAAAGCGGGGCCGTGAAGGGCGCGTAGATGGCACAGTACTCCGGACCACACAATGATCCGATGAACCCAATGGCGGGTCAACAGAGACTTGATAGTTCTCCGGATGTGAAGTCAGCAGAAGGTCCAACAAAGAGGGTTTATGACCATCCACATCTGGTATTCGCGTAATCGCAGGGACCATTTGTGTCAGGTCGTAGGCTAAAGCAAAGTCGTGAAAGGATCTTCCCGCGTGATCGGTGGTTTCAGAGCCGAGCCAATCGGCATGGTGGGCGTTAAAATCGCCAAGTATCACGATTTCAGCGGTAGGAACCCTTTCGAGCAGGGAATCTGTAGCCATTTGGATGTGCTCAATGAGTCGGTCAGTTTCGGTATTTCCGCTATGGGACCTATACAGGCATGCGTAGAATCGCGGATGGTCATCGCAGTCTACGCGCAGCCAGAGGTTAGATAGGTCCCTTCCTTCAAGCGTCCCGAGGCGACGAGAACAGATATCCTCCCTGACGTACACGCAAACTCCCGCCCGCGGCACAAATGAATGTTCCAATTTGTACCCCGGGTAGGAGAGGTAGGAAGTATCAGCCGGGGAGGAAATCTGAGTCTCGGTAAGAAAGAGCAAGGCCGGCTTCGCAGTCTCTAAATGGTAGTGGACTGCGTTGATATTGGAATTGAGCCCCCTAACATTTGTGAAGTCCACGGCGAGCGTGGACGGGGGTGCCTTTGTTGAATTGCTCCGTTTGCCCCGAGAACGATGACTGTTTTTGTTGAGCGCAGAATTGCCCCCCCAGAATACGAAGGGCAGCCTGTGCGTCCACCACCGGGTGCTGAGTGTCCCGGTGTTGGACGCCCAGAGGGGGATTCTCCACCGCGAGCGCGTGTGGTACCCCCTGGGGTAGATTCTGTTTGTTCTGCACCTTCATATTTCATATGGGGGGGATGGGCTCTCGGGAGTCTCCCTCACCGTACGAAACGCGAGTACAATAAGGCGAACCTATTGCCTCACTTCACGCCGGATTTCTAAGAGACAGTGGTACTGCCCCGGTCGTGCCTGCCCATTAGGCTGAAGCCCGAAGGCAACAGCATGGCACTCCCACTAGGAAGGGGTTGACTGATTGCGCTGATGAAATAACCTCTGTCACAGGTTATTTCACCAGTGGGCGATGGGGTCGTCACGTCCCGACGCCAAAATTTTATCTATGTAGCAAAAAATTAATTTTAATATTTTCATAAACCAAGCATTTTTTTTAGAATTAAAAAATTATTAATTATAGTAAAAAATCATTAATTTAAAATGATGAAAGAATAGTAATAATAATTATTTACAGCGCCAGTAAAAAGCAATCGAAGCGGTGTATCAGTAATTGCGACTGGTTTATGTGCGAGCACGTACCCTCGCGAACAAGCAGCTATCACGCACGTAGTATCGTGGTGGAGTAACGCACTAACTGATCGGAATATGCCGTGCGACTAGCGCCCGCGTATACGTCGCGTACGTACAAGGTCGCCCGCTGCATTAATGCATAGCGCTCGGGCGTTTTGAATTGATAATTTCGAGGTGCTATCAACTAAGAAATATTGCCAGTACAGTAAAAGTGTTTGTTTAGCGGTTACACATCACTTTCAGGAAATAATTTTACCTATCTTTTACTGGATATTTTTGGTTGGTATCAGACCTAGATTTTATCAATAATTGTATTGTGGAATATGACCGTCAATTTGATATATAGAGACTATAAGAGTTAAAAACTATTTCGGAAGGACCTAGCGACCTTGTCGAGAAACGCGATTGAAATCATAGAAATATCCATTGATATACAAAAAACCCAAGATGCACAGTCTCGAATAAAAGTAACGCTCGAAAGTGTCCCGAAACACTATTTCTGTCTCTTTCTATAAGTTACAAGCATATATTATTGCAAAATCAACCTTACGCGAATTGTTTAAAGTTGTTATTACAACGCAGTGTACTTAAAGCAATAAAATTTTACGTCCGACCGTGGTCGGTAGGACAAGGTGTTGAGTGGAGTCGAACATGACTTTTTTATTTACAACTATTTAACATAATTTTAAATTTATCCGACTTTTCGCGTGCGTGGTCACGGTGACTGAAGACAAAAGGTGTTGGATGTTAAATAGTTATAAATTTATAATAATACATAACTTTTATCCGGTTAAAAAGGTTTTCTTTAAATTAAAAAAAAATTAAATTGGCTACCTCCTGACCTACACTTTATATAGCGTAAATATATTTGTCAAAAACTACACACAAAAAAGTTCAAAAGTACATACATTAATTAATAAAAAAAAACACAAATAAATAACATCGACTCCACTTATTAGAACAGAGTCATTCTTATAATGCGACTAAAATAAAAAGAAGACTGTAATGCGTTGTTCTAACACTGAACAAGCAGCCATTGAAGTTGGCCGTATATAAGTTTGTGCGTTGAATGAAGTTTTTAGAAAAAATAAATAAAAATCACACATTGCTTGTTATAATCAGTCATAAAAACAACAAAAACTAATCAATAAAGTTTTTTAATTACCGAAAATACCATATCCCATATCCCTTTTTTAGCCTTCTTGACGTTATATTTTTACAATTTCTCACAGAACACTTTGGCATTATTAACAACTGCTCCCAGACGCGAGCGACGCGAGACTATTTGAAATGAGCGCACATTTTAGAATGTTGCGCTCATTTTTTGAGGACGTTTTTTAGACGTTGAGTGTGCATCTTGGGTTTTTTGTATATCAATGGGAATATCACAGAATTATGTAAAATTTCATGATTTTTGTAATCTTGGAGACTTATGGAAATGGCCATCTTTTGTTAATTTCTCTTTTATGTGGATAATTATATACTTCTTTTGAAATGTGACTCTGCATTGAGATTTTCATTTTCCGATTGTCTACTAACAGCATTAGATTGAATTCTACTGCAAATAAAAACTAGGAATTCATTAATAAATTTACATTGTCAGTTCAGATAATGTGTCAACAATCACAACATTCCTGAAACAAGCGTTATGCATACCAAAGTCAGACCTGGCCTGTATGAAAAAAATCATGCAGTCTACTTGCGCTCTCCCTATGTATTAGTAAGAGACTCTAAGTAAGATAGATTTCAATACAACTTAACTCCCAATAAAGTTCGTCGTGTCGAGAGCCGCTTCCAATTATGAGTGAGCAAACTATCCCAATATCAAAAGTATATTAGAGCGTCAGCTTTGGTGTGTATTGCCCCAATATTTAACATACATACTTTGTAGTAAAGTATAAACTGCATTGCGCATTAGCAGCAGTCTTATTATCCGTAGGTAGTGAAAAATATTTTGTATCTTGATTACGTGTGTGCCAAGGAGCGTCCCTAGATATTTTATTCATTGTGTTACCACATTTCAAATTTTATTTTAAGAGAGATGTTCAGATAATCATTATAAGTCTGTGTCCTTAATAATATAGATAAGTATATACTATTTATTAATGTTGGGTATTAGTTGTGTGTTATAGTTAAATGCTAATTCTGATGTACACAATTCGATTCTATTCGTCAATCAATGGTCAAACAATCTTTTTATACGTTTTAGTCCCTAAACATAATTATCGTAGCACACTCGGTACTATCTTGTACGTGGATTAACGTTTAATAATGGGCCGAGAGAGCCGAAAGCTATGTATTCATTTAGCAACACTTGAAGCGCATCACGTGACGCTCAATATGCTTATCAACAGCGCACGATGTTGTCATTTAACAAACAACATTACGCGCGTCACAGCACAGCACACAGCTTAATTTGTGTACGTCAGATTTAACATAACCGTGTCTGTAATAGTTGAGATAAAATAAAAAATATAAACAAATTCATGCTATTTTATTCAATACATTAGTTAAACTTATATTTTAACTTTCATTGTAAATAATGACACATACCAAGTGCAAATAATATAATAGTGGCTAATGTCAAAATAAGACACAGATATCGGGAGGAAATGGGATAGCAGAATAGTTTCGCGCGAAGTTTGAGGGATGTGGCGAAAGCGAGTACTGTGGTGATGTCTTCTTGCGATGTATCCTGGTGTAAAAATGGTCGCACACACAACTCGTGCCCGACGGATTGTGTGCGGTGACATTCCGCTGATAGTCTTGCTGCCTGAAAGTAACAATATTAAATATATAGTTGTGTGTATATAGGTATCTTTTTTAGAAACTATGCATTATTGGTTGACCCTTCATAACCTAGCAATTTTTATTTTGAATCATCTCGGATTGTCTCTATTACATTTTTGTACAGGATTATTGTTCAAATTTTTTGTTTTTGGAAGGCTGTGAACCATATAGAGAAAGCCACCAATTTCATTAATTATTTTCATTAAACCCAATAAGGAATATTAATGTTGTACCTGTATAAAAGGTACGACCACGGCCGATATCCATAGTAGCTGATTCAAAATGCTTATTCCTGCTATTGGCTCCGTTCCCGTATCCACTTTGTCCAGGTCTAGTAACCACATGATGCCAGACACCGCCCATGAAGAGTTCACAATCGTAAATAAACAAACGGCCGGTGCTAGATCATCGTTTAGGTATTTTAGAAGCTTGCGAAATTCAGCTATTTCCTGTAAGGTATTTTACAATAGTTTTCTTATTTAATAATCTTATACACAAATTAACGGTATTATATATGATATATTCGTTTCACTGATAATTTAGATATTTTTTAACAACTTTGTGGAAATATATAATAAGAGCTAATATGAGCTGATGTGATAACAAATAGAGAGATAAAAATATTGAAAAACGGTAATCAAGCTTAAACTTGGAAGACCTTGAATATTCAATAGCTGGCTTTGGGGATTTTCTTTGTTGATTACTATGTGTTTTGGACAGAGCTTGTACATAAGACTTCGACCACATGTAATTTACTAATTTCTTCGAAAATTCTTTTGGTGAAAAAGTAAACTATTTATATATCCCAACTATATAACAAAATAATTAATGTTTACCCTCATCCAATTTAGCGGCGATATGGTGCGATTAAGTAAGCGTTCCCTTAGGAACATTAGGTGCGCTTGCAACAATTGAGCTTGCAGGCAGTAGCTCGTAATGACCGTTGCTTGAATCATATCATGGATCAATGTACATACTATAAGAAGTATTTTTAAAAAAAGCAACAACTCATCGGAACTAAAAAATAAAAATAAATAAATTCAGGTAAGGGGCGTCCATAAATTACGTGAGGTGTTTTTTAAATTTTCTGACCTCTCCCCCTTAGATGTCATGAGATTTTATTCAACACCTCCCATCCCCAATTCACGTGAGATTTTTCAAAATGTGGGTTTCTTACTAAACATTGATTGTTATTGAAAAAAAAAGGGTGCGTGTACTTATGTACGCGCGTAAGAAGTATACTTCTTGGCATTATAAAAATAGTTTTTGATTGCATGCAAATAATTAATTACAATTAAATAATCAAAGACTGGAAAAGGAGTCATTATAGTCAATTAAGTTCAGTTTACATTTGAAAAATTAAATAAATAATTATTTATTATTATTCTCTTACATTAAGTGTAACATAAATTCTATTTAGTTAAAAGTATATCTTAATATATATATTTCTTGTGTGCGTGTGTATGTGACTGAACTCCTCCTAAACGACTGGACCGATTTTGATGAAATTTTTTGTGTGTGTTCAAGGGGATCTGGGAATGGTTTAGATTCACAAATAGCCCGGCAGATGGCACTGCAGTCGGTACTTTCATACTTTGCTTAATATCCTAATCGCTTTAAATATCATGCAGGACAACGTCTGTGGGGTCCACTAGTATAATTATATATTTAGAACATCTCTACCAAACACTTAGAAGTATGTTGTAGCTTTGGCAGTATTGCACAATATAAAATTAATAAATTTCTTTGAAAAATTAATCAAAACTCCTTTATTTGTTTAAAAGGTAAATGACAAATGTCATTATGGTCATTCAAAATTCTTGGCATACCAACTTCACTCATATTCTATTTCTTTTTACTTGTAGATTGTCTTATTCCTATCTCGCTCGCGCACGCTATAATCACACTCCCAATTTTGTGTCACAGGTGGCGCGCATCGTAAAATTTCACTCTCATAAATTTTTCATAACGCGCCTAAAGAAGTATAATTCAAAAAAAAAAAAAATGCTTCGTGCTTTTATTTACGACTAAAACAAAATAAGTGAAATGTTGAGCGTTTAGGTATGGAGTTAGCGGGAAGTTGCAGATATGTCCTTTAGAGTCAACCGTTTTCCTAAGTTTTTTAAATCAGAAAAAAATTGCGTGATATTTGCCGAGACCCCCTCTTAACTAAGATTAAATGAGATTTGACTCGACCCCTCCCCCTTAAACACCTCACGTAATTTATGGACGCCCCCTAAGTACCGCATTTATAAAATTCCGTAGGTATTGTAAATATTTGAATTGAAAAAAAATTTAATTTATCGTTTCAAACACAATCTGGTACAAAAAACAAGATGAAGAGCACGCGAGATCTCGGTTTGCACCGGTCTTGCTTGTTAAGTATGGGCTTAAAACCTGTAAAATCCATAAAGTTTTTAGGTACCGATGATTTAAATACTAAAACCAATGCTTTCAGGCTGCTGCCTCGAATTTTGCGGACAGCGGGGCGGCGGCGGCTGCGGCGCGGGAGCGGGCTATTGCACCTCTCGTTACCCGCCCTCGCGCCGCTGCCACGCCGCTGTTTTCGAGAACCGGTCCATTTGATTTTACGCATAGGATCCTGCTGCTCCCGCGCCGCCGCCCCGCTGTCCGCAAAGTTCGAGGCAGCAGCCTAAGAGTTTACTATGAAAGGGCGACAACGCACCGACTAAAAATGGGTGTCCATGGGCAATGACTGCCCTTTTTAGGCGGCTCCTCTTTATTCTATAAAAAAAATAATTTCTATCAGCTTTATTTCTTTTTGTGTCTTCTACTAATTGCGATGAGTGTTTATATAAAAATAATTAAAACTAACCTGTTTTCCATCCATCTAAACATAATAGTTCCCTTTGCCATCATGAGGTTTACGGAGCACAATGACACACACATCCAAAGGACACTTAAACTAATAAAGAACCAAAGCATTCGCAGCAATTTCTTTGGTTTTGTTGTCGGTGTTCCTTGAGGGGCGTACGACGATAAGAGGAACACCTATATATAAAACTATATTTTAATTTCTGTTAATCGCTTAAATAGAAACAAATCATTACGCATCTGCGTATCATCGGCGTACTGGTTAAGAGGGAATCTAATGCATATCGTAGAATTCAAACCAGAACTCAAAACAACTAAATTCAATTCAATAAGAACCGAGTGTGTTTCGTCAAATAAGGTTAAAACCCCTGTACTGTATTGTTACAGTACAGTTTATTTTATTTCCTTAAAACGAAAGTCATAATATTCATTCAATATGTCCGTTGTTATAATATATAGGATCACGCTCAACACTGCAATAGTATTTAAGACTGAATATAATTATTACGATGTGCAGGAAGTCAATATGATAGCATTTTTATTCGTCTTCAAAAGCTTAAGGAGGATAAATTCAATTTGTATTGTAATAATAACAAATTTTTCAATTTCAATTAATTCTAAATGCGTTCTAATTTATTGAGAATAAAAACTCACCCTCTCCATAAGATTTTGCAATTGTTCATTATCAGATATCCTGAAGAGATAAAGTGCATACAGGAATCCTAAGAAGTGCAACACACTGGGCCCAATATAAGTAAAGGTGATGTTGCCGTAACAGACTTTTCTGTACGCATCATATTCCAACGAGGAAGATAACGCTAACGGCACTAGTTTGTAACAAAATCCCCTGTCTCTTCTGTAAACAGAATTATAATACATTATTAACTGGCTACTCGCAACTTACGAACTCTCAGATAAAACAATTATTTGTAAGATATAAGTCTAGTCCGCAAGATTTTCAAGAAACACCGAAATAACATAGAACTCAGATTCGTTAAATTGTGCTACTGTATTAGCTATATCCTATCAGACATCAAAAGCATACACGCGTTTTCTTAAACTTACTAAAATGCCTCAAGGCATCTTTTTTCTCTCGTCTCGTTTGACGTTGCTAATAAAAAATGGGAGAAATCATTTTCTTAATCAGGCGTAAAGTGCGTTTGTTTATGATGCTGGCATTTTATAAATAAGCGGCCTCAGACTTAACGATTTGCACAAAACGTTCAAACTTAGTATTTTACTAATTTATGCTGTTATTTCTATCTTTTTCTTAACGATGTTATCATATTTTACCTAAAACATGCCATATATTGCAATATATATCCTAAACACATAAACACTGCCACTTGTGCTGAATGGAAGTGTGAGAAGCAGACCCCACATCTTGAGGAGTTCGACGTATCAGTCACCGGCCGCAGGCCCATAACCGTTAATAGTTTAAGGTATGGTACTAATATCTGAAACGTGAGAATACATATTGTCAGTGCATTATTTTAATAAGTGCCATTATTTCAAAACACAAACAATTTGTCACTAGTTTTTAACACTTAAAATATTTATCCAAATTTACAACACTCAAGACTATTTATAGGAAATAGAATATTGAATGCTAATTGTCAGAATATAGTTTTAAGTATCAGAGTATAATTTGTTGTAGCAGAGGTATATATATTCAAGTTATTTTAAGTATATGTAAACTAAAATAAAAGAAATTCAATTCTTAGTAAAAAAAGACCAAATAAATTTGCATTCAAACGCACATGATATCCACGAGTTTTAAGGTCGGTAGACACCAAAGCCTAGCTACCTTTATAAACGATGAAAGGGAAGATACTTGGATCTTGCCTCATACCCTGTTTACGGGATTTCAAGGGATTGCATATACAATATTATGTTTACAATTGACATACAATGAAGAAATATGTAGTATATATACTTACTTCAAGTCTACACATATAGCTAAATGAATATTACTCACTTTTGATTTACAATAGTGTAATATAGCTGAAGTACTCATATAATCTGTTTCTGGTGATTCTGTTATTTCCCCTATCTGTAATGAAAAATATTATAATAAGACTAAGTAGGTACTATGCATTAAAAAAAATAAAGTACTGGATCAGGAACTATATGAAATGAACAGCCTGCCAGGTGTTACATGCTTTCATTTAAAATGATATTATTATATGTAATTTCCTTGCGTAGGGTGCAATTACCTGCAACCATATAGTGCGATTTAATTTTCTTTTTAACTACTCAAATAATTTTTACGTGAATTTGATTGAGACATTGCAAAGAAGGCTAGTTTAGACTGAAACATTCCTAAAAAATAATATCCCTTCACGCACATTTATGCATTTGACGCGTATCTGATCCACTATACATATCACATTTTATTATTAGTACAGCTTAAGAATCTACGTACCTCGACACTGTTCCCGTCAACGCTAGATCTCACGGACCTCTCCATCGCTGGCACAAGTTTCTCGTTGCCCAGTACATGGCTGTCCAGGAGATCGCTAGCTGCATGAGCGATTAAACTCACATTATCCACTTTATTACCCATATCTATACATTAATTGCTTTCGAACACATTATTCAAACAATAACATCTTAATGATACAATATATTTCCGCTAAGTATTATTTTTAATATACTCGAACGTAGTCTACTTACAGCTACTGTAAGATCCATTGTCTCGTTGCATTGTGTTGTCAAATGCACTATGAATTAATAAAACTAGCACTACATCCTCATACCGTCATAATTTTATAATATGTATTCTTGACTCAATATTCACGGAATATTTTGCTTAGCGAATGTCAATAAACTGCATTTTAGTGCGACTTTTTGTTGTTGTACATACTGCTTTCAATTTTAAAGTTTATCAGAAATAAAAAACAATTTTGATCTTTTATTTTAATCGATCTTTAAGTTTATAAGTATACAACTTTTGCTTCAGGTTATTTTAAAATTCTTTGAATTCCACATAAACTTATTTATGATCACCGGAATAGAAACATATAACAGACAGGCAATATACGTCTTTTAGCGTAAGCGTCCATGGGCGGCGGGTATCAACTAATATCAGATGAGGTCACAGCCCTTTTTTTTAAAAAAAAACCACTACAACTCTTGATTAAATACGTAGGTTTTGTATAATAACGTAATAAAATCATTTGTTTGTGTCCTAATTAATATTTTTAAAACCAAAGGTTTCAAGTTCATGTTGAACTATGATACCCTTTAAGATGATAAGACACAATGCAGTTTTAAACTCTTTTCTCAATACTAACATGACGTTTTAAAAATAAAATACAAATTTTCTTTATAAATTGTATTTATGTGTATAGTTTGTAAATAAAAGCTAGTTAAATTTCTGTAAAAGACCGAACATCACGGTTTTAGAATAAAAAATCATTATATAGGCGTCGTTTTTGTAGCCTTAATTTCAAGGTAAACTATTGTTATAATTCACTTGCTTTTACTTATACTTAAATTAATATTTAAAAATGACGTCATGGGGCCTTGCACACAAATAACCAACACATATAAATTAAATATTTTATTATCGTTTCTTTTTAAGAAATCCTGTTCTTCTAACCAACCGTTTTCTTTCTTCATAATGCTTCTTCATATTCTTCTGATTATTATCTGTCTTCTTTCCTCTCATGACAAACTTCATCTCTCTATTGCCTCCAATTCCAGAGAAAATGGTGGCGCCCTCTTTACCCAATCTTTCACCTAAACTTTTGTTGCTGACTTTCATTATGTTCCTTATGTTACCGTTTTTGGGTGGCGCACTCAATTCATACATTTTGTCTTCTCCACTTTCTTCTATATCCTGCTTTTTGTGTCTTATTATTTTATGTTGCTTCTTTACTTCTTTCACCCAGGTGCGGTCCTCGTCAGAACTGTCTCCACTGGTGTCGTAAAATTCTTGGTCAGAGTCTCCTTCCTCGTCGTCACCTTCAATCTAAATAAGAGGAATACATTTTTAAAATAGATTGCAGAGCCTTTAGATCAGGCAAATAAAATGCTCTTTTTGTATTTTCCGTTATGTATTAATTCAAAGAAAGCAGAAGAAATTTTAAATTTATATTATTTTTTTTAAAAACACTTTTTCAAATTTGTACATAATTAGTATTTTCTGCATGGTAACACCATTATACAACTTCTTAATATCATTGTACTCTATAATTTGTGGGTTGTAAATTTTATAAACATTCGAACAAAACCTTCAATTAAAGGAATATTAAGCTGCATTTTGTATTACTTAATTAGAAATTTTTGACACAGATTAAACGAAAAAAAACACCCATTCCTTCCACATACAATATAAAATAAACTTACCTGCATAGGTTCCGCTTCTGGTTTATTATTGGCCTTACTCTTGCCAAGGCGGGACAGAACTGGGTTCAACAGACGGTACTCCTCAGCGTCTTTGTCAACTTCAAACTCAGGGTTTTCAAACATAGCCTGCCAAAAAAAAACATGCATTTAATTATAGATCGGATTCGCGAGTGAACTTTATTTTATTTTTAATTGTACGACCGTAGTTAAACCACAGGTCTGTTAACTATTTAGAGGCTAATCTTACGAGATTCACTTGCTAATTTATATTGTTTAATCACTGAAAAAAGAAAGTAAAAAGAGAGAACGCTCACAAGAAATCTGGGAAGATAAAATAAAAGAGATAGTGGGGCAAGATTGGAAAATAGTTGCGAAGATGAGACAAATGGAAGAATTTGGAAGAGACCTTCACTCCGTCGGAGGGCGTGTACTAATATTAAATTATATAGTTACATAAAGTTATATATAAAGGCTATTTTTATTTATATATAAACTCATTGTAATAATTGGTATTCATGAGTAATTATTCTTACGGGCGAGTTTTATGCGGGCTGTTTCGGTAAAATATACTTTTAGTTATTTATATTTCAAGACGAAATATCGAGGTAATTTTAGTCAGAAAAACTTTACTAACTTTACAGGCAATATAATAAAAATAACCATAAGTTGGGTAATGTATTTCCATTTATTATAAGATAAATGATTATTAACGGATAATATCAATTATTATTATTTGAAAAATAGAGTAAAGAACAAGATTGAAAAATATTGCAATATTAACACAAAATTAAGAGAGAAGACCTGCCACAGACAAGAACAAATAATTTAGTACAAGCAAAGAATATTCATATGTTCTATATATAATGAGATAGGCATTGAAAATTAGCCGTGCCTCGCGATTTCAACATGTTATATAGATTTAAAAAAACAAATACAGTAAAAAATCCAACCTTAAATCTGTCATCTTTAAGCAAATTGGCAGTTTGCTTCTTCTTAGGTCTGTCATCATCGAGTAAGCGCGAAGCGAGATCTCGGTTGACTTTCGGCAAATTATCATCAACTTTGAGCCTCGAAGGCCTCTCTTGTTCAATTTTCTCCCTGATTTTACGTTTCTTATACTCTTCGAAGGCAAATGGATCTGCTATTGATTTCGCTCGTTTATACAATCGCACGTCGACGAAATATCTAAAATTGAATAAAAATATTCAGTAGATGTTTTATAACTTTAACAGTAATTACTAAATAATAATAAAAAATAGTTATAAAATAATAACACATTTATAGGGAATTAAGCGCGTTTGATTAGTAATGAATGTAAACAGAACTATAGTTTTAATATTTAAGTATACCAAATGTACGGAATGTTTTCGTGTGGGTGTTAATATAACTGCAGAAATTTGTTTGCCTCATTGGGGGATTCAAATCCAAAATGGTGGTTAACTCTTTACGGGTTTTAGACTCGGATTTGAGGATTTATTTAATTGATGATTTCGCTTATAGTAGATAAATTTTTGTGGTTTTTCACATGCCAATCTCTGATGTGCATTAATTGCGCGGAAATAAAAATTATTAACAGGGTTAGAAACCACTATTAGTATAGTAAATATAAAAGTAATTACCCATGCATGTAAGCCCTTAAAAGATTTGTGCCAAGAAGATGATCGAGACCCAAAGACTCGAGCTCCTGTTTTGTAACAAACTTGTAATCATCATAAACTGTTTGGGAGGCCGAGCTCTCCATTTCCTCAGTCAAATTATCTAAGAATGCACACCATTTGGGGGCAGGACCTGAAATAAAATGTAAAAAAAACATTATAGAATGTCATATTATCTATTTTTTCATTAATTTCATTAAAAGTGTTCTCTTCTTAATATAAGTCATAAGTAACGTAATTTACTAGGCTTTTCCTTTTTTAATTATTAAAAAAAATATCATTATATTATGATCCTTTTTAATATGAAATTGCAAATTTCCTATTCATGTGAGTATAAAAACAACAGTGTGTTTAATTCTTAAGGAGCCGGATACATCCTTAGGCTTTAAAATAGATATCATTGAGCCCTGCCAAATGTCATATACAAAAATTTGTTTGATTAGATTAAATTTGTGACTTTCTAGAATATGGGCCTAAGCATATAACTATGTAGAAATAAGAAAGTTTTTAGAAAACACTCATGATTAATGTGAAATACATTAAACTAACCTAGTGATGGCACATAGTATATTTGCATTTTCTGATCCTCCATTGCCATCATACAAAGTCCTGTGTTTGGTATAATACAAAGATCATTGAAATCCACAGATGACTCAATATTTGTATACTGCTTGCCCTGAAACATAAAACCAAACAACATATAAAGGCATTGTCTCCAAGGAATTTATCATACTGTGTAATTATTGTCTTTAAGGTAATACTTTGAGATGGAACTTTTTTAACAGATCCATTCAAGAATCTATGATAAATTAGATTATTTACAAGAGACTACCACACTGACAAGGTGATCATAACAAATTTTTTCTCTTAAAATATTAATGCTATCTATTGCCAGGAAGTTGATATTTAAAAATACTACTTACTGTATTTTTATCCCATATCTTAACAACATTAGCATCCATAGAATACACATAATTCATCTGCTTATGAAATTCTACTTGCTTAATAGGAATTTCATTCATGTGATCCTTAACTAGAAGAGGTTTACTAGATCTTATATCATATAAAAGTACATGTCCTGATGAAGTACCAACACCCATTTGTAGAGCACCATTAAATTTTAAGGCTGTTATGGAGGGTATAGTTGAATTTCTGAAATAAAATTCATTATGTATATTTAATCTACCTGAACTAGGTTGTATGTGCTTGCTTACACGCTCAAATGTATGTATGATGATTTATTTTTGGTCTGGGTACCAAAAACAAAGCATAGTAACAATATATAGTGTGTTACAAATTAATTTTAAGAATCATATCCTATTATCAGTGAACATATGTATTAACATTTAACAATAATCCTTAAATACCACATGAATTGATTACACTTATGAAATTTTGTAAAATGCGGTTTGTAACTTAGACTAAAAGAAATATAATAATTATTTATATTATACCTATAGTCAGCATCAGAACAGTGTAAAGCACAGTCAAGTATGCCTTGGCGAGATTTTGTGCGGGGATCCCATGCTTCCACATGGCCACCTTCAGTTCCGAAGACTAATAGACCATGCTCCTCATTTACACTACAGCAGTTAATTTCTGTTGCCTTTGTCACATATGGTGCCAAAAATTGACCAAGTTCCAAATTCAACCTGTACACTTGCTAGAAATTTAAATAAATCTATAAATATTAATTCTAATAAAATTTTAGAAGTTAATCTTTGACATGTACTTACACTTGAGGCGCCAACAACAACAAGATCACATGAGGGTTTATGATATGTCATATCTCTTCCAAAATGTGGCACTCTTAACCTATAGTGTCTTCCATGACCTACATGAAACTCGACATAACGGTCACATTGTAGAAAAACAATCTAAAAGTAAAACAAACATGTATATGTTATATGTAACATAATAATAATAAATAATAATAGAAGAATAAATAATACTAGAATAATAAATTACAATAGAAATAATACATTTAGTTAAAACTTGTTCTATGCACTTACTACATACCTTTGTATAATCTTCACTAAGAATTTCAAATGTAACAACTTCAGAATCTAAGCATCTCTCAAATTTTAAAGATAAATTATTTACATCATAACATTTGACTCTGGGTTTGTAAATGCCTGTAGCCATAATATACTGACCATCTTTAGATGCCCGTATACTTGTACTCACACCTGGCATATCAAACTCCTGAATTAATTCGATTCTTCTTCGTAGATCAACATTCTTCTTTAACAGTGCACGTTTCTTTCTCTCTGTTAACCACTGGAATGTGTTATAGGTTAAGAAAATGTCCTTTTAATTTTCAGAATACAAATTGTTCAAGTAATAAGCATTTAATTTAATATCATTGAAAAAGGATAATTTAGTTGTCATTAAAACTTACATCAGGTAAAGATTTTCCCGCACTAAGATTGTAAATCTTCACATTATCAATATCGGAAACCTGCATTTTGTTAATGTTTGTGCCTTTATATTTACTATTTTAAAACAGTCACATATTATGTTTTAAATAATTAAAAATATTAATTATTGTTCAGTGAATTTTTGATTCAAGTTATATATTTTAACTTAAAAACAAGTAACAACACCACATGTTTTTATTTTTTACTTTTTATTTCAGACTCGCATGTCAATTTTCGCCTGTCGGCTGTGGCACTTCAGAGTTCAGTCATTCAGTGATCACTCTTCAGTCTTCACCTTTCCCACTTGTCAGTTGCCAGTTATCATTTATTATTAAAGTCGTGTCAAAATTATTTCAATTGTGAAAAACTCACTTTAAGACTAAAATTTTTCAACCTTAACACATAATATATACGTATAGATATATATAATACATATTTGGAAAAAAGTAAAAAGATTTATAAAATAACAATTAACCACAGCTGTATTACATTACACTGCATTTATTCTCATGTCAGACAAATTGAAAGTTGACATCTAATTTCTATGCCATCAATTCCTCTATCAATAAACAATATTCAATAGAATAATTTCATAAGACATCACATAACCTATTCAATAGTTCAAAACACATTTTAATCGAAATAATGCATTAATGAATTATGTGGTAATTCTAGTGTTAAGTTAAAAGTTTAGATACTTATGGTTCTTAATTTATGAATTGTGGCATAAACAAGGGTATATTATTCATAAGAAGGGAATATTGTACACAATAACATAACCATGGCAGCAATGAAAAAACTAACTTTACCGAAATCGGTACTAGACATGAAGTTTATGAAAAAATCTAAAGAAAGAATAGAAAATTCCAAGGATCATGATAACTTATATTCAGGCGTTATAACGAATGACATGAAGCAAGCATCTGGAAATTACATTGCGGAATCTAGTTTCATCTATTGTACTGATTTGTTAGAAGGTAGACTATCTTTTAAGGGTATGAATCCAGAGATTGAGCGTCTAATGGAACAAGAGAAACCTAAAGAAAAGGATGGCGATATGCAAAAAGATGTATCTGATGAAGTTTTAGCTAAAACAATGGAGAAGTTTAATAAAAGAAAGAGGCCATTTAGTCCAAGCAAATATAACTATATTAAAAAGAGAAAATAATTTGTACACAACATGAAGAACTTGGAGCGATATCTTATAGATCAATCAACTACTGTTACAAAGTAGTAGTATATCAGTTACTATTTAATGTTGAATTGTTACTGTAACATATATGTTTTTAATAATTTAAAATAAAAAAATTCTTACTTAATCATATTGGTAACCATGTACATTTCTAAACTTAATTTTAAAAAAAGGAAGAGTTACATTTACTGTTACAACTAGTTCCCAAGGAAAACTTAAGAAACATCATACCGTTACCCCCATGCTCCACTTGAAACAAAATTTCAAAATACTAATGTAACAAATACTTAGCATCAATGGGGAAAATAGAAGTATGCACTTACAATATAGTAAGAAAAAAACACAAACTCAGTCAATCATGGTTAAAGTGACTGCTTCAATATATAAATGATATTGCTACACATACACTTTCAGCCATGACCAAGCATGTTTATGACACGGATTACGGTATGCACTCACCTTACATTAGTATATGTATATGTGCTTTTATTCCTCTAATATATTATAAGACTCAACGGTTTGGGTTTAGAATTACGTCGCCCAAATTTGATTATACTGATTAAGTAAGTGTCTCAGGGGACCTTGATTGGAACACCTCCAAGTGATATTTGCTGCCAGTATGTGTCTAAGTATTAAGAAAAATATTTTAAATTTTGTGTAATGTATTGAAATTCGTAAACAAACCCGTACATTTTGTACTTTTCTATTTAATTTATTCGGTTTTTTATAATCAATTGTTTTTTTTTAGCATGAAAAATTGATGAATAAAAAATAACCAATTTTTTAATATTTATAGTCTGTTTTACCCCTAGAGTGTTATTTTAATACCGTAGGCGCAATTTTTTTTAGATGAATCTTTGAACCTACTGTTATGTTGGATAATTATTATTATAAAAATAGCTAGTGTAACCACACTAGTAAAGACTAGTCATCAATGATGATTTAGAATAAAAAATTATCTAATTTATTTTATGAGTTCAGTTAAGATGACAAAATAACATTCTCATTAATGACCTAATTCTACCTACTCCTTTTTAAGTATAAGGTTCTTTTTAGCTCATAAAAGCTAAAAAGAACCTTATGTTTCTATTAGAGATTGTCTTTGTCTTAAAGAAGCTCTAGGTTAAGGGTTTTTAAACATCTACCTTCTGGTGTTTTGTTGAAAATTGTGACCATTATTATTATATGGATGGCATAATGAGGAGAAATTATTCTAAAGACAATTAAAGAAGATAATCACTGAAATACTCTAAATCAATGATTTATTTGTAATAAACGTATCGTAAATAACATCAGTCTATTTTTTGAACTCATGCATAATAATAATAATACTAAAATAAAATAGGGTCAGAAGTAAAATCAGTGTTATATAAAAAGAATGGTTTTGTTTTTATATTTGAACCAACATATTATTAACAATTTTAATATATTAACATTACTAACATAAATATTAGTTACATGTTGATTATAATTAGTGAGTTTTAACTTTAATAAAGATTTAAGTGAAATAATCATTATATATTAATTTAATTAATGTTCACTGCTATTAATTAAAGTTCAGTTCTTATATAACTTTTTTTAAATTTTCTATTTTATTGTTATGTCTTAAGTATAAAAATGTTTTTACCTTCAATAAAACCCTAATTTCAAATGAGATTTATAAATAAGTACATGGGCGCTATTTATTGATTCAATTTAATCAAGTCCTTGTTGCATTAATGTATGAAGATCTCGGAAAGCTGCACCTAACCTGCCCTGGAGTGTTTGTCTTTTCAGTAAAAAGGCACGAATGTCTATTAGAAGCTGATGTATTTGAGCACATTTAGCATATCGTTCCTCCCTCGGAATGTCAACGCCAAGTGTACGTACGGGCGCGCTAACGTTCGCACGTACAACTGATGAGAAGTTACGTACGATAAGTCTTAGAGCATTACATCCACATTGCATGTATCTGAAATAAAGTTTCAATTATAGGTTACCTAAAGAGAATTTTTACATAGTTGTCGAAATACTTATTAAGCTTGAATACAAAATATTAGATCTCCCTTTTGGAAGGACATTAGCTTACATACTACAAGTTGTTTTCCATAGATACTACATTTAACAGCAGTTATTAAGCTAGTATAAAGCTTGGCAAGTCACAACACTGCAACATGATTTCACGTTGCTTGCAATTATTAAGTTCATATTTTCTATGATTACAAATCATACTTACGATTCATATTTGCTTTGTAACAATTCGAATATCTTGGGCAGCATTAACAAACATATATCCAAGTTCCACAGGGTTCTATAATAGAAAAAATCTTTTATGTACGAAAGCCTATTGACTTTACAACTTAATTTAATTGGTATAATAATTAATTTTATGCGAAAATAACAATAAAATTTGGTTCATGCAAGTGAAATAATTAATTTCCAATTTTGCTGATTCTTAAAATACTCAACTGTAAACGAACACATACAGAAGCCATAGATTGCGCTCTGAATCTTCCTCTATGAACTAAAAATCGTCTATGAGTCTCAGTCTAAGCAGATTGAGTTGTATTAAAAAAATATACCACGTACAGAAATCTGAGACCAAGATCCATATAGTGTTGTTCGTTATTTTTATTACACTGTTGCAAATAAAAAAACAATTATGTACTTACGGTCTGTGTGCCATTACGTTCAAAATATCCAGTATAACAGAGGCGTCTTCTAAGGCAATAACCGATTCAAGGGCCGACTTTAGGCTCTTGTTTACTCTTACTGAGTGGAAAATCTGCAATAATAATACTGAATATTCTTAAACATACTAAAAAATTATCTTATATTATAAGCCATTTAACCACCCATAGGTAATGGTGAATTATGCGTGGTGTATGATCATGGTATTGCTTTTGGTAACTACCCGCAATTGTTAAATATCATATTAATTGCTTTCCTCGGAAATGCACCTATTTATACTAATAATACAACGAGGATACATTTGTATGTACCTAACGAATAACCTCAAAAACTACCAGACCAATTAAACAAAATCTTTCACGCCACATTATCCCTAAGTGATATAAATGAGTTATATTTATTTCCAACATATAGAATAAAGGCCGCACAGGGTATAGGCTTTTTATAATAAGGTGTATGGTATACCTGCAACGCCCGTTGTCTAGCTGAGAGAACAGCCATCATGGAGTCATGTCCCCTCATCATCACCCCAAGTACTTCTTGTTCGCTAGGCTCTGCCCCGCCTCCGCGACCACCGCGACGGGCTCCACATGCAGTTAGACCACGCTAATAGAATAAAATAGGATATGACACTACTTTAACACTTGTTCGACAATGAAAGAAAACATCGCGAAGAAACAGTATCTTACACCAACACGTGACACAAAAAATAACATATGTTCACTACATATTTTTTTTTCGTTCTTTTTAAGTTTTTTTTTATTTAACTAGCCAAATGTCAAATTTTTCCAAAATTATTTATTTATTATTTTTAATGGATATCTTGGTTTCCTTTTAAGCTAGTACTATAGATGAGTTAAATAACCAAGTTCTAGACAGTGACTTTATATTTTCTTTTTTATACATTTCTTACCGGTACGAAATCATCCAAATCCAATCCCACAGGTTTATCAATAGAAAGGGGAACAAACTCTAGTTCTGGTTCTCTTTCTGGAGCAGTTTCAACTGTCCTGGTTATAACTCGCTCCCGGGTGGCCGTATCAAATCTTGTTCTAAAAAAAATATATTTTATTTTCGTAAAAAAATACACTGTAAACGAATTGAATCTCACCTTAATTATAATTTGTACTTAAAATGTTTTTCGTAACGTGATATCTGAACGACTAGAGTATAGGCTTCTTATTGACCTGTACCAGGATATTGCATGGCCAGTAAAAGGCAAAATAAATTTGGTGTTTAATATGAAATAAAAATGTCTAAGAATTTTTTACCTGGAGTTCTGACTAGATGCTCTGGTAAACGAGAGAGATCTAGGCCCTAAAGATGTTGGGCCTAAGGAGACTTCACTGTTACTTGGCCGTAGATTACTGCCCGCTGAAAGAATTTGTACAAAAATCTATTCAACATAAATTCTTTACATTCCACCATTTGGTAAACCAAAAAAAATACTTAATTGTTGCATTTATTGTTTTAAACAAACAAAAAGAACAAATCATGTAATTTTTTTACTTTTGATCTTTGTTAAGTAAGGAAAATTATTTACTTTTATTAAAAAATAAAAATTAGAATACCTAAAATAGATCACAATTACACCCAGAACTAATAATACCCGCGATAATTGGGACTCAATGATAACTGTTAAGTCGTAAAACCTATTACTTAATTTTGATAGAACGGGCGGAAACAATAAAACTTTGGTAAGTTCTCGTAAATCGGATTACTTATTTACATTGAGGTAAAATTAAACCACAAACCAATGCTAAGCAAGAAAAAATCAATAACCGAAACTTACATATTTCGGTGTTTGATTTCGTTTCCTTGTAAGAGTTATGCCTGTTAAGCGATGGCGCTTGAACGCTCACAGTGAAATTGTTTATGGTTGACGTTTGCACGTTTGTTAATAAGCTGTCATCTTTATTGCTGTCAAGTATTCCTGTCAATATTAATACCAAGTTAGTACGAAGCTTCGATTTTTAAAAATAGACTGTTACATGCATTTAACGTTCTCGTATATTCGTTCACCAATCCCAAATCATGATTTTCGGACGTATGAAAGATATTATAAAAACTATATGAATAATTTTATTGACCTATAGAAGGGTACATTATGTTAACTATATGAAATATAACAAAGGAGTAGAAATCGCGTTTTAGTATAGAACTATAAACGAATTAGGGCGTTAAGAAAATACAACGGGACACAAAAAAATGTTGTTTTCTGTCGCAAATTTTACTTCACCATCCGCGGTTTTCATCAATAGATTAAGCAAAGGAAGCAACATATTGAAACCATGTGAGATGTGATA